ATAAAAGAGGACGTAAAGAAGAAGCGCCGTGAGGATTCTTTTTTCGAAATCCAACTGCCAAGGTATTTTTTACGTGCGCAACACTACACAAGGGCGTTCGATCTTACTAAGCAGAGACTAGAGAAAATTACTAGAAGTCCACGTGAAAAAATTCCGCCCTTCACCGGGGTTTGAACCCGGGTCCTTCAGCGCTCGAGGCGGATGCCAAAATCCCTCTGCTTCTTTCACCCCCCAGCTTTCCTACCATCACAATGTACTCCAGTTTTCTCTTTCTCGTGATGTGGGCCTTTAGAACCTATCGGGCATATAAGAAGAGCACCCATATTTTGTACAGACCAATCGGCACTAGGTGGGTAATGTGGTAAGCATTACACCGGCCATTTTTACTTTCCCAGAATATACATCCTGGTACCCATTTTAGGCTGGGTGGACCTGCGACGCACCATACTATGATTAAAAAAATCAACGCAACCAGCAGTGGGTTTCGATTGCGGTACGTTGGAATTACGAGTCGGACTCGCAACGCCTAAGCCACGGAGGCAGCCTGTTCAATATATTCTCACCCTTTAGTAGGTAGCCGTCTGTAACTGGGAACCATGGAATTGTACCGCGGGTTTTATGAACAACATCTGCGCTGACTAAATTTCAGTTTGGGAGTGGCAATCTCTGCCACATAGTCCACACAATGAAGCTGGTTTTCTGTCTTTCACTATCTGCCTCCAAAAGGGGTCGGTCTGCAGCTGATCTCACCCAAGCGTCTGTGTCAATGATGATGTCTTTCGGTCACATCTGTATGCATCATGGCGCGGCATTAACCTTCCTGTAGGCGTTATCCATGTTAGCAGTTTACCATGCGTCGTGACCCATATTTAGGTGCACAAATATTAAAGAGTAGCCATAGTCTGAGGAGTGACCAGAATAGATAAAATCGGGAATGAGGTCACACAAGATAAAGTCGGCACAGAACCAATTCTAAAGTACATGGAAAGATAGCAAATCAATGGTTTTCCCACTTGGAGAGAATGCCTTCTGGTGCTTTACCATTCAAGGCATATACCAAAAGAGGAGAGGGACGTAGAGCAAAAGGTAGACCAACAACAATATGGACAGAACATAAACATGGACGCTAGGCACGGCCGCCTATTGTTTTTTTTTTCTTCAGCCGTGGCAAATTTTTTTTTCTGCCAGACGGTGGCCGTTGCATTTTTGCTCCATTTGTAGACTGGAAGGATATAGTTTCGTCGCCCAGCTTCTGAGTTGAGTGCATCGCGTGACACTGAGCTACGTGTGTTTTTCGTTGGCACAGGCGCAGAGCAACAATGGGGTGACCGGTTTGCTATGAAGCTGAAACAAGGATTACCAGACAACATCAGAGAAACTCTACAGTACCACGATGTGTCTTTGGTCGAAGCAGTCAGAAAAGCACGAAACAGGACCTTATTCTCCCTCGACACCTCAAGCGGTAAAAGAGGACGCAAAGATGAAGAAGCTATAGTCTATTTCTGTTGAAAGTATTCGATTTTGCTGCCAAAGGAATTTAAGCTAAAGCCAGGAGTGGCCAGATCATAAATGTGGTGAAAACTGGGCCAAACATGGACAACGAATAGGGCCCTAAAACAGAAAATAACCGCATGTAAAATGCGCTGTCTCCGCAAGGTCACTAACAACACCAGACGAGACAGGGTTACGAATACCAGCATTGGAGAGAAAGTTGGAATAAGACCATGATGGATTATAGAGACAGGTCAAGAATGAAATAGTTCGGCCATCTAGTGAGAATGCAGCCAGACCAGACAGCATATGAAACTTCTTACAGTAGAACATCTGGGAGGAAGGTAAGAGGAAGACAAAGAAAGAGAAGGATGGATGGTATAGCTGAAACCTGTAAAAGTATAAACAAATCCATCACCCAAGCCACCCGAGAAGCGCAAGACAATACAGAAATCCACGACACTGGGCAACAACCTGATATCAGTGAGTCGACAAAAGAAGAAGGTGACAACTGTTCAGCTCGCCTTGAGAGCGAAACACGCGAATCAAAAAACATTAATGTGATAAAGGCGAGAAAAAGTACACAATTACTCACCGGCAGTCAAGGTTGGAAAGTTGATGAGAGAAGATATGTGTGTGATTTGTCAAAATATTATCAGTAGCAACATAACTAATAGTGCGAATAATATGTGACTTTAGACCACAGTAGTAGAAGTAAAGAATGATTCGAGAATCTTACTAATATTACTAGTATACGTGAATTATATATTCTAGCGGCGGTGTTAATTATGATTGATAAATACGTATTAAAAAAAAAGGACAAAATATATATCGAGCTTATACTCGTTTACTGGTGTCTTTGTGCTTGTGCATCGTCAGCTCATGTGTATATCCGTGGCCCTGTCATGAAACCTTTGTGTTTATGTGACTATTATTATACCTATACGTTTGTATAGGTGCACTCAAATAAAAAATTGGAGTCAGCACTGAAGAGGGTCCTTTTTACGTTTCTCAGGCCAAACATAATGTAACTGGGCTTTCATTCATGCTTTCTCTTTCAATTTTTGTGTGCTGGAGTCGTAAGTTTCACCGCCGTAGATTTCCCGTGTGGTTTCTGTGACCCCATTATGAGGAAAAGGGGGGGGGGGGGAGGCAAAAATAGACTCAATGCCTGTCTAAAAGTCGACTAATTGGGAGCTTCCTTTGAAGTCGGAGTACATCTGCCTGAAAGGCAAGGAACCAATAGTCTGCATGCAAATGTCAGACTGAAAAAACTACAAGGGATATGACACGCAACGCTCAGTTTCTGGAGCAGGACTAGAGTCCTGAAGTGGACGAACAACCAGAAATATCCGCCGAAGTTTACAGCCGGTGAGCGTGAAGAAGAAAAAGACCTCTGTAGATAAGCGTGCTCAGGGCACAAGCTTCCTAAACTTTGTTTTCCTATCGTATCCTCAACATTCGTCTATGAAACCTTTTCGTCTATAAAGCTCAAATAGGTCGAAATAAATCTATTACGATTTGTCCACCAGTTTAGCTACGCATGCGCAGAGTGTGGCTTCTGGAGCGCCTATGGAGACGAATACTTCCTACCTGGGCTGGACAGCCGAGATTATTGGTTTGGGAGCAGTTACACGCACAAGCAGTTAATATTAGTTGGCAGTACATGTAAAATAGAAAATTATAGAGAACCTGCCACTTTTGCTCCAATTACAGATTACCTGTGTAAGTTTCTGTGTTAGTCAAATACGAAAAGTGCTCATTTATCAAGATGAATTGACATCTGTCGAGACGATCAGATTGAGACTGAGAATTGGAACCACTTCTTCTTAGTTTCTATTCTAACTCTTGTTTGGATTATATTTATAAAGAATAAAAACTGATGTAACAAATTTGCTTTCCTTTGTCAGTTTTATGTGTGTCAAGGCAAGCCGTATTTTTGGAATATAACATTAACAGACATGAGCTGTGCATGTTTTGTAGTCTCTTTTACTTTTACTTTACTACTAGAATTCAGTTAGATAACAATGTTAGGTTCTCCTTTAAACTACGGCCGGTTAGTCTGAGTTCAGTCCCCTGGCTACAGTGCAATTACGGAGTGGAGAAGGCACGAATCACAAAACAAAGTGAGATCAAAATTATCAGATATAGTGGCGGTCATTATGGGTACGTACTCGACGTTACATGTGTACCCTACCCCGGCTCTCCTGTCAAATGCGGCCAAGAGAGAGAACTCGTCAAAGGCTTTTTATTCTTCGTCCGGATTTGACAGGAGTACCCCCTACCCCTAACCCTACCCCTAACTCAAACCCTAATCCTAACCCAAACCCTAGCCGTATGATGACAGCAGGGCGCTGCACGCTGTCTATCGCCAACCCACAGTAATTATGTCATTTGTTTCGTTCCCTCCTCTCCACTCCGTAATTGCACTGCAGCCAAAGGACTGAACTCTAACTAACCGGCCATAGTTTAAAGGAGAGCCCAATGTTATTAACATCGATTAACCATCGTGAGTAACCAACAGAACTATCTCATCTGCACAGTCAGACTAAATTTTGAGTGGTTACTGTGTGGATTTTTATCTTCTAAACGGTGAGAATATCGTGGGCAGAAAAAAAAACTGAAGTATTGGTTAACTGCAGATGTCACTAAATCTCATTTTATTATAATAAGGAAAAGATAAAGTATATAGTATAGGACATTTCAACAGACGAGCTGAAATGTAGAAATTGGATTTAAATGGGAAAATATCAAGCAAGAGAAAGGAGAAAATGGGTAGAGAGACAAATATATCTGGAAATATTTTGACAACAAATAATAATCAACCAACCCGTTTCATAAAAACATTAAATGACAGAAAGGATGCTTGTGTGCATAGCTTGATATACATAGCTATTTCTTTTCTGCTACCACCATTCAGAATCATGTATTTTTTTTTTAAGATAATGACTTGTACAAAGATATTTTTTCTGTGAATTTTCCTGGGAAAAAATTTCAGATTTATTTATGTTTATATAGTTGTTCTTTTGTCCTACTGTTTATGCCATAAAACATAATAGAGAGGAGTTAACTGTAGTTTCTTATCTTGTGCCAGCTGGTAGCTTTTGCTAGTGTTCATTATGTTAATTTTTTACTGCATTTCTTTAGTTTCTTTTACAGCCTGCCCCCATCACTTTCTTGGGTCAGCTTCTTGCCTGCTGGTCTTGTGTAGTACAGGCTAACTGCTGGCTGATTTTGTTCCATTCTTACCAGATTCCTGAACCATTTTATTCTTTGATGTTCTATGAATGTTCACTTATTCTTTGGCCCCCCTTATTACCTAATTACCTTAAGGAATAAAGATTGTTTCGATCATTAAATGATTATTACGTATTTTTATTTGTCAGCTTTCAGATGCAAAAGGAAATGCATGCTAATAATGTTTTAAAACTCAAATTTCTTTGTTTGAAAAGGCAGCCCACAAGTTCCCTCTAAGTTTAGGCTTGACTATTTCACACTTGCCTGTTAGGATGTCTGAAACAAGTACATCCAGCTCCGCTAGTCCTTCAGCAGTGGATAGTTTACCTTCAGACATTTCCAATGTTACCAGCTTCGGAGACAGCACCAACTGTAACAATATCGCTATGCAGAGACCTTCAGGTCCACGTAAAAATAGCGCTGAACGAAATATCATTCACACTCGCATGGAAGACACAGATGTCTGTAAAGAATATGAATATGGGGAGAGTCTCGGTGAGGGCTCCTTTGGTAAAGTGTACCGGGCAAGGCACATACAGAGTGGAGAAACTGTTGCCATCAAGGAAATTGTCAAGGAAAGGGTAAGTGATGCTAGGTGTACTGTATTCTCTATCTCTTTAACTAAAGCTTAATGTGCCTTTTGTGTTTACTGTTTGTGTTAACACTATACGCCCTCTGCATATCACTGACAAACGTGCTTATTCAAGAATAATATCGAGGATTTTGTTCAAATATGATTTATATATAATGTCAGAAACATCAGTGTCTGAATGCAAAAATGTAATTTGTACCACTGCCATATTTATTCATTATTTATAGTATGTTTGTTGTCAAGTTAAATGTATCTAACTGTAGCAACACTTTTCTCATTGTCTACAAAGGAGGAAAAGTTTACATTAAAATTCAACAATGATGCTGTTCCACGCTCCAATACTCCAACCTTCCTGGGAGTCAAGCTTGACAGTCGTCTGACATGGAAACATCACATACTAGAAACTAACAAAAAAGCTATGAGAAAACAAGGTGTGATGAAGAAATTGGCAGGCACCACTTGGGGAGCAGACAGTTGTATCTTGAAGCAGGTATACACCGGCACAGTCAGACCAACTCTCGAATACGCATCATCGTCATGGATAACAGCAGCCCATTCCAATAAACAGATACTAGACAAAACGCAAAATAGAAGTCTGCGTACAATTCTGGGAGCCATAAAATCTACACCTATTGTAGAAATGGAAATGCTGAAAAAATGAAGAGAATGCTAAACCACCCACTACACGAAAAATTGGCAGCCAGGACAAAAAAAAAACAGAATAAAGCGCACAAGCCTAAACCATCTAACGAAGGAATTTGGAAAGTCATTCTCTTCACTACTTAACCAACAATGTACACCTGAAGAGCTATCTTTCGATTTCTGGGACTCCGAATTATTGACACTCAATGTGTCAACATCCATCCCGAACCTGGGAAACAAAGATGCTGAGCCCGCTTTAGTGAAGAAAGCACTCACAATGGAACACCTCAACAACATGTTCCCACAGGACAGCTGGACGAGAATCTACACGGATGGATCGGCAAAAGAGGCAACTACGAATGGTGGAGCAGGTGTTTACATAAAACACCCAGATGCCACTACTGTGTCCCTAGCAGCCCCCACCGGACGAACTTGCTCTTAACTACAAGGCAGAACTCTCAGCTCTATTGATGGCAGCACAGTATATGAACAATCTGCAAATCACCGCAGGCAGGATAGTTTTTCTCACTGTCAGCTGTACAGGCCCTTGAGTCCAAACCTACCGACAGCACACTACAAAGTCTAACACAGGAACTTGCTTTGTTGTCAAATAATGCAGAAATTCACTTGCAGTGGATTCCGTCTCACTGCGGCATCAAAGGCAATAAAAGCGCAGATGCTTTAGCCAAGGAAGGCAGTAACAAACTACAGACCTACCAGCCACTATCTTTTCCAGAAGTAAAAACTCTTATTAAGAGAAAATCAAATATTATAAATAATGAAAGAAAGGGCAACTTAAAAATTTTGATGGGTGACTTGAATGCTAAGATAGGATCAGACAACACAGGTTACGAAGAAATTATGGGGAGACATGGTCTAGGAGTAATGAATGAAAATGGAGAATTGTTCACAAATTTTTGTGCAGGTAACCAGTATGTTATTGGTGGAAGTATTTTTCCCCATAAAAGAATACACAAGGCAACATGGGAATCACCAGACCATAAGACAACTAATCAAATTGACCACATTTGTATTAACGAAAAGTTTAGATCATCCCTTTACGATGTTAGGGCTTTCAGAGGTGCCGATGTATTTACTGACCATTTCCTGGTGATAAGTAAAATCAAGTTGAAACTAAAAAGATATATAACATCTTATAATCATAGAAACCAATATAATGTAGGCTTTCTCAGAGATAAAGAAATTAAGGAACAGTTCTCAGTTACGGTCTCTAATAAGTACCAGGTGTTGCAGCAGTTAGCTGAAGATGTCAACACAGAAGTCTGCTGGGATCAGATCAAAGGAATCTGGAATGAATCTTGCGTAGAAGTTCTTGGCAAGAAAGAAAGGAAACATAAAGCATGGATAACACCAGAAACCATTAAACTGATTGAAGATAGGAAAAGTAAAAAGGCAGAATTAAACAATAGCAAAACTAGAGCTGCTAAAGCTAGAGCTCAGGAGAATTACACAGAAGCCAACAAGGAAGTTAGGAGGCATATAAGGGCAGATAAAGTGAAATATCTTAATGATCTAGCACAAGAAGCGGAGACAGCAGCAGCAAAAGGAAACCTCAGAGAACTTTACAGTAACACAAGAAAATTAGTAGGTAAATATAGTCAGCCAACTGGATCAATCAAAAATAGTCAAGGAAAGGTACTTACTAACACTAAGGATCAAATGGACAGATGGGCTGAATATTTTGAAATGCTTCTAAATAGACCAGGCCCAGAGGTTCCCCCAGATATCCAGCCTTTAGAAATGGAACTGAATATCAACTGTGAGATACCATCCAAAGAGGAAATTAGAAAAGCTATAAAGCTTCTTAAGGAAGGAAAGGCGTCAGGCCCAGATGGTATCCCAGCTGAAGCCATCAGGACCAACATAAACACATCAACAGAATTGCTACATAGATTATTCAGTAAAGTCTGAGAGACCGAAGAAATACCAGCAGACTGGAGAGAAGGATATCTTGTGAAACTGCCCAAAAAAGGTGATCTACAGGAGTGTGAAAACTATAGAGGAATTATGTTGCTGTCAGTTCCTGGAAAAATATTAAGTAGAATTATTTTGGAAAGATTAAAAGATGCTATTGATAAAATGCTAAGAGATGAGCAGGCAGGTTTTCGGTCCAACAGATCCTGTACTGATCAGATAGCCACATTACGTATTATAATAGAGCAAAGCATTGAACTGAACTCACCACTTTACATTGGATTTATAGACTATGAAAAAGCATTTGACAGCATTGATAGGGAATCTCTCTGGAAATTGATGGGGCACTATGGAATCCCACAGAAAATTATCAACTTAGTAAAGGCAACATATAAAGACATGAAATGTCGAGTTCTTCATGAGGGAAAGCTAACAGATGCATTTGAAATAAAAAACAGGTGTGCGACAGGGATGTCTTTTGTCGCCTCTCCTATTTTTACTGGCTATAGACTGGACTATGAAAACAGTAACTGCTAACACCAAGAATGGAATTCAGTGGACCCCTACAAAACAGCTTGATGATCTGGACTTCGCTGATGATATTGCCCTTCTGTCCCATTCACGGAATCAGATACAAGATAAATTAAATATACTTAATGCGAGATCACAGCAGCTTGGTCTGAAAATCCATAAAGGAAAGACAAAGATAATGAGAATAAATCAGGCAAATAGTAATGTGGTTTCTCTTAATGGCACCCCACTCCAAGACGTGGAGTCGTACACCTATTTGGGCAGTAATGTAGATAAAGATGGAGGAACTGATAGAGATATTAAAATAAGAATACAAAAGGCAAGAGGGGCTTTCATAGCACTAGGGAATTTGTGGAGGTCAAAAGAAATTAAAAGAAATACTAAACTAAAAATTTTTAATTCTAATGTCAAATCAGTACTATTGTATGGGGCGGAAACATGGAGAACAACGAAGGCAATTACTAATAAATTACAGACATTCATTAACTGGTGCCTGCGCAGAATAGAGGGAATAAAATGGTACGATAGAATAACTAATGTAGAACTTTGGGAGAGAACTAAACAGGCTCCAGTGGATCAGGAGGTGAGGAAAAGACGCTGGCCTTGGATAGGGCACACACTGAGAAAACGGGAGAACAGTATAACTAGAATGTCTTTGCATTGGAACCCACAGGGGCATAGGAATAAAGGAAGGCCAAAAAACACATGGAGAAGAGAGCTGGAGAATGAGGTTAGAAAGATTGGGAGGACATGGGGAGAGCTTCATGTAATGGCGAAGGATAGAACGACTTGGCGTGAGTTGGTTGAGGGCCTATGCTCCATTGGGGGATAAAAAGGCAGAAGAAGAAAAGAAGAAGAGAAAATCAGAAACAGATTGGAAAAACAACACTGGTTATAACTACGGAAAAGATTTTCTGAGGCACTTGAACAGATCAGACCAAGTCACAGTTTTTCGCTTACGCACTGGACACTGCAGACTCAATAAACACTCATATAAATTAGGTATGAGCCAAACAGCTCTCTGCCAGTGTCTTTGTGCTGAACAGACTCCAGAACATGTCCTGCAAGACTGTCCTCTCCTGGCGGAGCTGCGAAGCGACATATGGCAACTAAGCTTTGGGGAAACCTAAGAGACCTTGAAAAGACATCCCAGTTTATGACCCACAGTGGATTATGCGCATGACCAGAGATCGCTGAAGAAGAAGAAGAAGAAATGTATCTCTGTATGTATAAAGTATGCGGCTTAGACGTTGCAAATACGCTTCATGATGACGTGGTGTCATGTTCCATCCCAGCTGTGGACGACTTGGCAGCAGACCGCCTTGTGTTGGTTTTAAGTATCGAGAGCCGACTGTTTAGTAAGCAGGGGCAAACTACTCAGTATAAAATTGCCTAGGGAAATCAAAAACAGCGAACACATTTTGAGGTTGAATTTGCAACATCCTTTTAAGGGCACATAACTAGCTTTTTTTTTAAATGTGTAAAAATAGATAGGAGACGACATTATGTCCTGGCTAGACGCTTGCCTGCGAATTGGAAGCTCCTAGGTTTGGGTCCTGACAGTACCTGACTTTTTTCAAAAATGACCTTGGCTCCCAGGTCGAGTCATGGGAAATAAAGTTGGTTGGCGTAATGCTGACCACATCACCCACCAAATGCTGATTGGTCTATAAAATACATGTCTAACCCTATATGGATAATGTGGCTGAAGGAATGGAAAATGTTCTTTACTTTTTTACCTTATAGAAAAGATCCCGTTTGATCATAGATGAAGAGTTTACCAGGTTTTGGAGTAGGAGGGGTGACTGCCTTCCTTCTTCCCCACTTTCTCTTACCATACAAATCTGTTGGACTCATTTTTGGAGGTTGGGTCAATCCTAAGCTGTAATAAGAAAACTCCAACCCTGGGATTGAGATTTGAAGCTCTTTATCAACACTGAGGAGCAGTTTATTCAAAAGTAAGTCATGTCTCAGAAGTAGATAATAATTTTGACAAAAGATCAGCTATTCTAGGGGCATCACATTGTTGAATTAAGAATTGACATCAGAGCATTCGAGACACTCCCATAAGCGCTCCATCCCTATCTTCAGCAGCAAGCGAAGAGTTCCAGTTCCGATGGCACTGGTAACTGCCTTTCCCTTGAGTCTTGAGTGTCAGCCAGATCCCCTGGTAACTCCTCACAGCGTCATTCTCCTCAGACCACAATGATCTGTTTGTGCCTCCATACTGTTCACCCACTGCCAAAGGGCCCTAACAACATCTAGCTTGTCATGCAACAGTCCACCAAGTGGTGCAGAACAGCTAGTCTATCTGTCTGGTCATTTCCCAACACACCAGCATGACCTGAAGAAAATATCTAAAACGGTATCATTCACAAATTTTTTGTTTTTGTTATTTTTAAAAAGGTTAGTTTTGTTTTGTTTAATGAAAGCTACATTTTTTTGCACATTCGGCCATCATTTTATTTAACAGTAACTAAGATATTTCACTCTTTCCAGTGTTCAATGTGTGGTAAAAATCATATTCTGCATGAACTAAACAAGAAAATATTTATGTGATGAGAGAGTTCTGTTGTCTAAACCAGTACCTCATATCTAGTCTATGTGATTCTGTTAGCTGAGAAGTTTTCCATTTAACCATTTCCCCTCGTATTCCTAATCCTTCATCTACAAGAGGCCTTATGTGTTATCAATATCTGTACAGTTTTACTTGGCCCATGTCATATATGGATGCTACTACATGAGACAAAGCAGGGATCCCGTGAAGTGCTTAGTGTGTTTAAATACATGGAACTTTTTAAATGTGTCACTGATGCCAACTGTCATTTCATTGTAGATTACTGTGTTCACAGGCTGGCAGCTCCGGTCTCAGACAGCTGGAGAAAGAAGTGTCTATATTTAAGAAAGTTGACCACAGAAACATTATTAAATTGAAGGAAGTTATTGAATCTTCAAAGGTAGGTCCCATACAGATGGCTGAATATGTGCTAATTACTTCTGCCTCATCTTTATAGTATACCAGTTGCTTTGTGTGTAGGAAGAAGTATAAAATGGTTCCAATCATGTGTGTTTTTTTTAAACTTTTTTTTTCTGTGTTCATCTGAAGATGTAATTATATTGAGCTAATTTACAACATGACTGTGTTATTAGCTCCTTTCCTCCGACACATCTGACTTCTGCAGGAATTTGTTGACCGGGTTAGCCTTCCAGGTTTTTTAAAACATATTTTTCATCAAAAATTGGGAGGTTTGTAAAATGAACAACAAACATCCATTAGAATAGCTGAAGAAACATTGGATTGGTTCGAGATGCAAAAGAGAGCGAGGCAAAGGTGTATTCTCTCACCATACCTATCATACCTTTTCAATATATGTGCAGAAAACATAATAAGAAATGTCATAAATGACCAGACTTGTTACAGTTATGATCTGCTCATAATTGGCTTATGATCTGCTCATAATTGGCACCAACCCTGTTCCTAACTTTGCTATATATATGGCAAAGGCTCCCTTTTGAACAATGTATATGAAATTAAACATTTAATCATGTCTGTCCCAAAATAAAAAATTTAGAAAATCAAAACCTGTTTTTGGTTATTAGCTGATGTAGCAGCCATCCCTCTATCAGTCGTCTCTGTAACAGTCTACACTGTCATCTGGAAGGACGGAAAGTGCCATTAGGTCATCCTTTATTTTGGTATCATGCATTTAGAAATGTTAAATCTTGTTATTCTTTAGTTCAATAGATCTCTATGTAACAATTACAGGATTTCTCCAAGTATAAGACTTACTTTTCCCCCTCCAAAATATAGGGTCTAAGAGTCCCAAGGAATGCATCATACGTTCATAGGTTACTGCATAGAAGCCCAATGAACGCATAATGCGCAGATTTTACGTCTTTTTTGACTACCCCTTGGGCCTGTGATGCTAAACCCTCTGGGACTCAAAGAGTTAAACAATGGTAGTGTATTATTTTTGGTATAAGACGCACTTATTTTTTTTTTTTAAACATATGGTCTAAAAACAGTATGTGTCTTACACAAATAGTAGTATATAATTTTGTTCTCTAAATTTCCGGTCTCAAAATCAAAGCGTTTTATGCATGGGAGCATCTTATACTTGAGGAAATACGGTAGTCAGTTTATAATATCTAAAGACAGATTGACTCTGGATAAGAGCCCCATTAATAATTTTAAATACCTTTTTTTTCTCTTTTAGAAAATGTATTTAATTATGGAGCTTTGCGAAGGCGGGGACCTGGCCAAATTGTTGCAGAAGCAGTCCCATCTTACAGAGGGCAATACAAAAATAGTGATGTCAGATCTTGCAGCAGCCATCAAGTATCTACATCAACAAGGTAAATAATAGATTTATCTTCTTCTTCTTCTTCGCGGTCACCAGCTGTAAACTCTGGCAGAAAGTTCTGGTTGTTCATCCACTTCTGGACTGCAGTCCTCTTCCAAAACCTGAGTGTTGCGTGTGCATCCGTTTTACAGATCTGACTCATTTATGTGCAGACTGCTGGTTCCTTGCCTCTCAGGCAGATGCACTCCGACTTCGAAGGAAGCTCCCGATTAGCCGACTCTTACGACATGCTTTTGGGTAGGCAGTGGTTCTATTCTTGTTTTCCCTATAATAGGGACCCGGAATCCACACAGGGAATAATAGATTTATTTATTTAAAATCATAATAAGACCACCAGGGCGACCCAGGGTCCGGTGGGAAGACAACATCCGACAGTCCCTAATGAACAGTGGACTCGAATGGAACAAAACCAGAAAGAAAACTGCTGATAGAGAAGTCTGGCGATCTCTCTGGCAAACCTCTACACCCCAAGGTAGGTAGAAGAGGTGGAGCAACTAAGTAAATCATTATATTAAAGTCTGGAGTGGAGACAAAAATCATGAAGCATTTTCTCAGTTTTTGTTTTAATTTTTTTTTTACTGTAAAAAAATATTGTTTGGGTTAGTTTTCTTTTGCTTCCATAAGGTCATTTTTCATTCTTCACTGTTGATAACCATGTGTTAGATTTTCTATGCCAGTAATGCTAAAATGAATATTTTATGTAAAATAAACACATTATGAGATAGTAGGCTGTCACGGTTTCGACTTTACTGTAAACATTTCATCCTATGATTACTCTTTCCTTGTGCCAGTGAAAATCACACAAAATGCCCTACACTGTCCTGTTTGAAAACTAGTGAACAGCCTGCCAAAATCCAGAAACATGCGCACACACAGTAAATGTATATCTGCTATTGGTGACACTACCAACAGTGCACTATCATAACTGCAATTCATTGTTGAATGAAGTAGTCAGACAGGCTAGCTGTATAAACACACAGTTATTGCTTGAGAGGCATCACTGTTCCAAAAACACATGCACCGCCCGCAGTTTTCCTAATATCACATCTTATCCCTGTCTGCAAAATGAGCAACATATGAGGGATTGTTTGACTCCCCTGAGAAGTGCATGCTGAGGCAAGACTTCAGGATGCTGTCAACCCATTCTAGTCAGATAAAGCTGTGTTGGAAGTTGAGCTCCTTAGGTGAACTGGAGACAATTCTTTGACGTAGCCTGAACTGATACATGCTTTTGAATATTGAAGATTCACTTGAATATTGACGACTATGAAGAGGCATGATGGCAGTCAACAAGGCACTTGATGAAGACCTGCCTGTAAATATTTTTCATCATTTGTTTGACTTATTGTTGCAGGTGTCATACACAGAGATCTTAAACTTGAGAATATATTACTGGCCGAGGATCCGAGCAAGAATGGCAATATAGTGATTAAGGTTAGTTGAAGATAAATGTTATCAGTGATTGTGATGATTTTCTTTTGGGCCTAATAATTTTATAAAGTGTAAAACTATTTACAGTTTGGTGTTTTTGCTCACACATCTAAGAAAGGTTAGTGTTTTTGCTCACACCTAAGAAAGGCTAAAGTGTTCTTTTTAGATATCTTGTTTGTTGTGAGCTGTTTTTATTCTGTTTTATATATATGTATACAGTGAAGACTCTCTGGGATTTTATACACACACACATATATATATCTATATATATTGCCAGGATCTGATTTGTGGTTGGTATTACATTTTCACTAAATTCACATTTTATTGTATATTAGTTGCAAATAGTTAGGTTCTATTCTCATTTGATAGTTACTTCATTTTATTCCTCTGTGAATGTGTATCCTTTTCAAATAAATAAGTCTACAACTCCTCTGTTGGAAGATTTCTTGTTCTGAGTCTACTAATGACATTACTACTAAAAGCAGCAGTTAACCTCATCAGAAATATGTTCTTTTTTGTCCTATAGACAGGGCCGTTAGCTGAGTCAGTAAGTCTATACTGTTTAGTCATTGGGGTGTCTACACCAGTGGTTTTCAACCTGGGGTGTGTGCCCCCTTGAATGGCGTAAGGGAGTTTCAGGGGGGGGGGGGGGGGGGAGGTCAGGCAGTTTTGAAATTGAGTTTATTTATACTTGTAATATTGTAATAATTTTTTGGGTTTAATTACAATTAAAGTATAATTTTTAAACTAGTTATCATTGAGAAAAAAAGTACATCGGCCATCTCATAGATATTTGGGTACAAATTTACCAGTTTTTGGTGATTGTTTCTTTTATGTTAGACACTGATTTATTTAGTTTTTTTTTTCCCTTAAGTTCTTGTTAATAGTGCTTAGGACTTTTCTTTTTTTGTCCTTTTTTTTAATTAGAGGCTTATACTAGTGCCACCCAGAAAACCACTGGTCTGCATAGATTTTTCCCTAGAAGTGACAGTAACTGCATCAGACTATTAATACATTTGTTAAAAACTGAATTTTTTGTCAAACCTTCCTTCATCTGAAAAAAGAAGTAATTTCTTCTTATTTTTGTATTCTATCTCTGATGTTTAATGCAAGTTCAGATATACACTTTAGCATTAGCCTAAAGTTTGCTAGGTCTCTACACAGTTTTGTATAAAAGTGTGCCTAAACAAGTCTTTGAGGTTGCGTACTTTCTGTGTTTCATGATCTGACTATCCTATTTTTTTTTCAGTTTTTCATGTTTTCTCCTTTATGTGTGTTTTTTTTAAAAAGATTTGTTTAGTTTGTGCCTTTCTGGGGTTGTCTACATAGATAAGATACTTCCGCCCTAAAATAGAGAAGGTATGGCATAATGTTGAGCTTCGAAAGTTATTTTTGTTTCCTACAGTGCTTTTGCTAATGCAGTTTCCACATATGGACGGTAGTCAACAGTTTCGCTGCCTGATCTACTGTGTTTTATGCTTGGTGCAGCCCTGGAGCTGTGCTTTTCCTGTGGAATGTCTTTCATTTGTGTAGCGGTTGTGCTGTGGTAATCACTATAGCCGGTTTACGTGTGAGCTGGTGAAATACCTTATGTAATAATTCTACGTGTGTATAGTTGCCAACTTATTGTGCCCGACTACTTCTGTCAATGACAAACTGCATTTCTGATGGGGACTGTTGGCTTTGGCACCTCTAGCAACTGAAATTTATATTTACTGCGGGCGCATATTTCTGAATTGGTCTGAGACTGTTCAAAAGTTTTTTAAATGCTTTTAGTGAGAGGCATTTCATTTGATTTGCACTGGCACAAGAATAGCAAATGTGAAGAAACCCGATTGCAGTGAAGTTGAAATCTTGACTAAGACTAATAGAACAGATAAATTATTTACCTGCCATGAGTTTTCTTATACTACTTACTTACTTACTTAGTCGCTCCTCTTCTACTTTGGGGTGTAGAAGTTTGCCAGAGAGATCTCCAGAGGACAGCAGTTTTCTTTCTGACTTTGTTCTTTTCTTTTTGGCTTTTTTCAATTCCAGTCCTCTGTCAGTTAAGGACTGTCGGATGTTGTCTTCCCAGCGCACCCTGGGTCGTCCTGGAGGTCTGGTTTTCTGGTTCTTAGCCTCCCATGCCTGCCATGGTGGCCGATTTTCTCCCATTCTGCATACATGTCCAAACCATCGTAACTGTGACTGATCCACGCGGGTTTTTAAGGACTGGGTATCAAGATCTTGACATATTGTCTGATTGTGGACTTTGTCCCTTATTGTCACTTGGTCAGGACTGGCACATAGGTAGAGCGGTAAACAGCCATTTTCATTCTCTTGCCAATTTCTCTTTTGCCAAGAAATCCTCAGTTTATGGCCTGAAAGTCTCCCAGCAGCTACTTTTCACGTTTCCAGCTCAGTCTTAATACCTCCGTTTCGGTCTATTACAACTCTAAGGTATTTGAACTGGTTGGCCTGCTCCAGTGTATATTGTCATATCATGATCTGGTGTTTTTTTTTGTCCTCTCTTGAGATCACCATGGTTTTAGTTTTGGAGATACTGATGGTCATCCCTCTCGTCTCAAACTCTTCCTTCCAGACAAGTAAGTTGGACTGGAGGTTTGACTCTGATTTAGCTATCAGGGCCACATCGTCTGCAAATTTATACTATTTAAGCCATGGTAATGACATTTGGTGATACCTCTTAGATCCATCAAACTCCTGTATCTAAATCACTTACAAAGCAAGTCTGATAGTTTATTGTTTTAGTTGTACAGTGGAGCCTCAGGGTATAAATTTAATCCGCTTCATGAATTCGTACAAATAATTTTAATTCATTCCAGTCCTCCAAAAGTCAAATATAAAATAGCGTTTTTGATTTCGTTATCAGGGAAAATGTGGGCTATTGCTTTTTAATTTATCATCATCAAGTTCCTTGTCGACTGGCCTAAGTCTTCCTTCAGCGATGTTAACATCCTTAATGCATTTAAAAGTTGTCAAGATGCTGTCGGGTAGTGTCAAAAGTTTTCAACTCTTCAGCTTGCATCCTGGATTCCCCCCCCCCCCCCTCAATAATTTGTGCGAGCCTGATATTGTATCCTTTAAACAAAAAATACTTTGTGTGAGTTCTGGGACCCCATTATGGGGATAACAAGAATAGATCCATTGCCTCCTTAAAAAGGATGTCATAATTGTTGACTATGTAGGGATGCTTCGTTTGAAGTCAGAGTGCATCTACATGAGAGTTAAGAAACCTACAGTCTGCATCCAAGCCAGATCTGTAAAACGGATATGCATGCAACACTGAAGTTCTGGAACAATGCTAAAGTCCAGAAGCGGATGAACAACCAGGGCTTCCCACCAGAGTTTACAACAGATAAACTTGAAGAAGAAGATAATAAGTATCCTAAAATGTATATCCAGGTACTCTGGTGTCCTGAAGTTCCACTGTATTTTGTTCTGGAATAAAATACTCAAGGCCCTCTCTAATCTGTTGCACCTTGAAGAATATTGCAGATAAGATGCTAGCTACCTAAATATTGTAATAGACTGTTGATACTCGATCTGTGATGCAGTCAGTGTTATACTGACTGCCTTTATTTACCATAACATTTTCTAGTACCCATTTTAGGCTGGATCAACCTAAGAACCTAGGAAGGTTATCTCTGATTTGTGAATGATTTGGACATATGGCCATCCTACAAAATATGATTAGTCATAGTGAGGATTATCAATCACAGCACTCCGGACAGATCCATAGGTGCTCCAATCTCCTCCTCCGAATTGCTACAAGTGTAAAATGACTTATGGCACCTGTTCGGTGTTGATTAATCAAAGGTCTTGTCCCCTTGGTGAAATGTTAATTTCTTACAGCTCCAGGTTGCACCCCCATGTCCATCAGCCTAGGCAAGGATACGGCGAAAAGACAAACATGCAGGTCGCTGCATAACCATAGCTGCCTGCTGGTGCAAATCATCATCATCATGTAGCAGGTCCTTTGCAGAACTGCTTTGTCACTCTCATCATGGTCTGCCTGAAAGAAACTTGGTCTCCCACCAGCTCTCCCGCCTCATGTATTTTCATACTCAAGGAGTCACTTATATCCTGTGACCATCTTCGTGTCGGTCAGCGCTTGCCCCTCCTTCCCGGTACTATGCCTTCTGCTATTTTTTTTTCCAATCCGTCATAGTGCTTGATGGGACCAAAATATTTCAGCTTCCGAGACAGGATGCTGTTTATTAGCCAATCTTTCCTGATCTTCATATCTTTCAAGATGTCAGTATTGCTGGTGCACAACTTACGTGAAATAAACATTTGTACTTCCGGTATGTCTCTTAATCCAGATATGTTACTGAAGAATTTTGGCTGTAAACCAATGTTGCTAATAATTGTCACAATTATACTCTGTAGTTTACATTCACTTTCTATTAGGTGTCAGACTTTGGCTTGTCAACCCAGCAGATAAACAATTCTTATGAAAACATGCAGGAACAATTCTGTGGGACACTCTCTTACATGGGTTTGTATATGGTTTCACATCATACAGTTTTGATATTGAGGTTGTAAAAAGATATTTTAGAATGAGAAATTATCAGTCATCTTGGAACTGCTTTTATTCTTTATTCCAAACTGTAAATCCTAACAGTTATATATGTAATAGACGTGCTAGTAATCAAATTCTTTTTGATCTCCCTAAATGCATTATGCCTTAGGGGGACAGTACTATAACTTGTCCAAGCTTTTGCTCCTGTAGGAAAAAAAGTCTGTGCGAAATCATTAATTATATGAGTATACCAGACTACATAATCAGTTTGTAAATAGAGACGGCAACAAAGTCTGAAATGGACTCCTAACTCCATGCAGTCTTTGTTGCCTAAGTTGCCCTGTTTTATCCACTTTTGTGAGAATTATTGTTTGCTCATAACTCCTCTGTTGTATTTGAGTAGTAAGGCTTTTTGTATATCAGTCTTGGAAATGGCCAGATCATTTTTTTTAAATGAAGTGTTACACCATCTTGTTATAAAATATCACCATATCTCAGTCTGTTTCTCTGTGTCTCACTATTTACTGAAGGGGGTAGGGAGATGGCAGACATACAAATTATAAAGAACACAATCCATGACAAATGCACTAGCCATGTAACCCCATATACACTCAGATTGTAGCTCTCCCCGTTCCTCCAGCACCCTAAAATATAGAAACTATGTTGCATGTCTACATTGCAGAACCCCCTCAAGCATTGTTTGGTCATTCGTGATTTTACTAGGCAATTTTATGTTTAGTAGCTTGTCATTGCTTTCTGACTGGTCAGCCTTCGATACCATTGTCAAAAACCGTGCAAGGCGGTCTGCTACCAAATCACTCACAGCTGAGATTGAACAGGTATCTCGGAATTAAAAACCTTGTTTGCAGCACCTAAGCCATATATTCTGAATGTTTGAAGGCAGGTAGTAAAGACAGTTTGAAAATAATTTACAAGCAGCTGGCATTATTCTAAAGCGCCAGTCATACCTTGAGATCTGACTGATCTCTACAATCACTTGGCGGCGTCTCAAATCCTGTACCTGCTTCCGATCAGTATCAGAAGTCAGAAGTAAATTTATTAAAACATATTTTTAGTACATATTAATACATGATACCATAATGATGAACTGCTAATGACAGTATTGACAATATTTATCAAGTTATCAAGTATGGCTGTAACAGACATGTTTATAAATATTTTAAAAATTCTTTACAACTTACAGCTCCAGAAATGAACTCTACTTATTCCTACCCTGTAGATGTTTGGGCTATGGGTATAATCATGTATTACTTGTAAGTATATTTCCATTTGTTGCTAACTCTTCCATGTATACAAGTAATGAATACTATTTTTTTCACGTGACTCATCTCTGAATCGATAACAACATGATTCATCCTATCTTTTGTTACTTGATAAGACTTAGATCAGAAAGCAAATCGTGGATTTTTTTGCTTAGGTCATTCAAGTGTGCGTGGTAATGAGCAGGCTAATAGATTATCTGCTGCTGACCCTCTGGGGTGAGCTACTTTATGATAAAGCAGACATGGTGAAGGCTATCTGGGATTGAATGAACCAGTGCAGCAGAACAGAGCATCTATATCTGGAGAGAATGTTTCAGCTGGGAGTGAGCAGAAGGTTTGCACAATTTTCTGCCTCTAAAGGGGAAAAAAACAGAACCTTTAATCAGGTTTCAGCTGGCACCATTTGTATGGGAATCTTTGTTGGCTGCTGGGGAGGGTGATGAAGCACTTATGGGAATGCCCCAAATGCAATGATATCAGTTCTTGATTCATTCATTAGTTATTATACCTGCCACATTTTGAATTGTCATTATATTGCATTTCAGATGCGAATTACATAGTTCAGAATAAGCCTAAGACTAGATTTTTTTTTTTTGGGCGCAGTGTTTAATAACTGCTTGTAGACCTATTCTTGAAAAATTAGAGATGCTTTTTCTCCTGTATTGTAGCTATGTACAGTTTACAGACTCATTGTAGCAAGTCATAAATACAATATTTTCCTTTTTAAGAAATAAACTACAGGGTGGGGGGGAAAGGGGGGGGGGGGGGGGGCGATGTTTAGTGGCATGTTTTTAATTATTTGGCAGGAAAGCTTATTACTGAATGGCATATTTTTACTATTAGTTGACAGAAAAACCTGTTATTGGATGGCATGATTTTTTTACTTGACAGGGAAACCCATTATTGGATGGCGTTTTTATTATTAGTTGACAAGAAAGCTAATATTGGATGGCGACTTTTATAAGTTGACAGGAAAGGGGGAACACTTGAAAATTAATGACGACCCAGATTTCAAAAGTACTGTCACTTGATTGTTTGAACCCTAACGTATTCTTGTGTGCAATTTGAATAGCTTCACTAATTAAATTACATCCCTGTGAGGGTTTAAGGGCCCTGTTTTAGAGAAAACATACTAGACCTACTGCCTACCCAAAAGAATGTCATAAGAATTGACTGAGAGCTTCCTTCGAAGTTGGAGTGTGTCTGCCTGAGAGGCAAGGAACCAACAGCCTGCATATAGACGAGTCAGATCTCTAAAATAGATGTGCTTGCAGGTTTTAAAATAGAACTACAATTCAGAGGTGTAGGAACAGCCAGAATTTTCCACTGGAGTTTACAGCAGGTCAACGCGAAGAAGATGATTAAATTACATTAATTTTAAATGTCAAAATTGTACTTTTCAATACTGTGCATTTAAAAAAAAAAATTTGTATAGTGTGTGTTTGTATCCTGTATGCGCGCACACACACACACAGGAAGGTCAGTAAATGAATCATTGAAATTGCACATTTGTGTAACCGATGCTTTTCATGGACTCAACAGACTGACTCGATATCCTAAGGACAATGTATTGAATGAATCAATAGCAAAAGATGGGCCACGGTTTGAGGAACCTCAGTGGAAAAGTATTAGTGATCAAGGTTGGTCTTCTGTGATCATTTTAATATTTGTGAGAATAACAGAGTTAATACACCCATACAGAGAGTAATCAACATTTTCATTGCTGTAGGTATAATAATACATAATAGGTGACTTTTGCAGAGAGTTTTTAATGCAGATATCCATGTTTGCCAAAACAGTGCACACATAAGTTATGACCTTTTTCGTATAGAGTGTTTACAGGTGATAATTTACATGTAACCCCTAAAAGGGAAATATAATTAATCCAATTACAAGAGGACTTCAAATGAAAACCTTTAAAGTGCGCTGCTGTCTTGTAATCTTTCAATATTGTTGTTAAGGAGGTCAAGAGCATATGACATCACAGTACAAACACGGTCACGTCATGACAAGTTAAATATGCCCACCCACTTTTAACATGTACCAAATAGGAGCAGTGTTCTTGTATTTTTAAATTTTTTTTGTATCAGTGAGGGTGTGAAACCTATAGAAATTCATCAGGGAATGAAGGTCCCTTGTAGTGATACATGTCTCTCAGTACAGCAAGTGTATGAGTGAAGTAAGAAGTTTCAAAACTGAGTTCTGTGACCGTTTGAACTAGGCTTCTTCCTGGAACCATACTCTCCATTATTGTTCTCTACAGACCATTATGGCATTTAATACACTTTATGGTAGTAGTGATAAAATTGTCACCTTCTTTTTAATACTGCTCCTCCAGCAGCTGAATAAGACAGTGTGCTTTATTTCAGTTTTAGTAGAGATCATTGATTAACAAGTGAGGATATCCTCAAATATCCTTGTTTTTGTAATAATTAGGTGCCAAAAATCTTTTTTTTTTAAATGTGTGTTTTGTATGTTTATATAATTAGCATGAATACAAAGTGCTCATATTCAAAAATCATTTCTAAGCCAAGGATCTGCTGAAAGCAATGCTGACAGTGAACCCAGCCTACAGACTGTCCTCGGGAGAAGTTCTCAACCATGAGTGGTTCACGGTAGGCTGCCTGGCATTTTTGTAGTTGTGTAGTTATCATGGCTGACTTTAGCGATAAAGTGTCACCCTTTGTAAAGTACCGTGTCCAAACCAAGCTGTTATAGATTTTACAAAATTAAACATTTTAAAAATGTTCTGTCCTATGATTCCGAGATAGTGAATTGGATTACCACCCCTCTAGGATAGTGCTGAAAATGTCAAAAAGCCAGGTGCATGCAGCATCTGTTAAAGGTCTTTTAGCAGTTGGAAATATTACTGACCAGAATATAATTCATCACTCATAATTATCAAGTGCCTTGCCAGCGGGCATAAGCATGCATATCTCCACAGATCTCGGCCTTTGGTGCTCAGGGTCAATTCCACAGATGAAACTTCCTTATGCCACTGCCTTAAGCCACCCACCATCATTTCTCTTGGTCTGCCTCTGCCTCTTCTACCAGTGATCTTTCCAATTGTCAAAATATTTTCCAGTGCTCCTTTTTTCATCACATGACCAAAGAACTTTGTCTTCTTCTCATCGGTGTATATAATATTCTACTTTCATTTGCCATTGTTAGTTATTCTGGCACTCGGTGTTTGTAACATTCTTCAGAAAAACCACATCTTAGTTGCCTTTAAACTCTTCTTAATTTGTTTGCTCACATTCAAAGATTCAGTGCCTCACAACAGGAAAGGCTCAATATAACATTTCAGTACTCGTTTTCTGATGTTTAATGAAAATGATTTTTTACATTTTCATCACTTCCCTGAGTGGGTTCCGGGGCCCTGTTATAGGGAAAACAAGAATAGACCCACTGCCTACATAAAAGCATGTTCGTAAGAGTCGACTAATTGGGAGCTTTCGTCAAAGTCAGAGTGCATCTGCCTGAGAGGCAAAGAACCAACAGTCTGAATACAAATTAGTCAGATCTGTTGAACAGATATGCATGCAAAACTCAAGTTCTGGAACAGGACTGCAGTCCAGAAGTGGACGAACAACCAGAACTTTACAGAGCTGGTGAAGAAGATTTTCATCACTATCATAGCAAAATTACATATACCTGATAAATTATTATTGAATGTACACAGAGTAAGCAATACACTTGTTACTGTAGGTATATTCATACATAATAGGTGGATTTACAGAATAGTTGCTGCTTCTACATCTACAAGGAAATTGGCAATAACCGTTTGCTGAAACAGTGCACAAACAGCAAAATTACAAACATAAGAAAAGCTACTCACACAGCAATAGTTTTTTTTTTTTTTCTCTACTCCTGGAATGCCTCCCAGCATCAGGGATGGAAGAGATCTCTGGGACGGGCCCTTCTGTTCACTTTGTATAAAGTACTTTTCATTGTCTCTGATATTTGTGGTCCATCTTCTGCATGGTCAACCTCTAGATCTGTTACTACTATACCTATTTAGCATTGCTCTCTGTGGTGCCATGTCTGATGCCAATCTTGTTACATGGCCAAACCATTTTTGTTGTCTACTAGAATATTTTTAACATGTAAATGTTTTTGGTAATTGAAAACCAAGAAGAAATCACTACGTTGATCTCACATTAATAAGCTTATGAGCGAGTACAGGGCTAGATTTCTGATTTCTAACATGTTGAAAGAATTGTAGACTGGTCTAGGTCTGAATAAACAAACATGCCATGTAAAATTAGTTCAACTTCTTCATTTACTGGCTGTGAACCTCAGCAGAAAGTTCTGGTTATTCATCTACTTCTGGACTTTAGTCTTGTCCCATAACCTGAGTTTCATCTGCACATCCATTTTACAGATCTGTTTTTTTTTAAAAGCAGACTGTTAGTTCCTCACGTCTCAGTGTAATAAACTATTGTTGGCGGAATCTATCGTCGCCTGGAGATCCCCTATATCCTTCCAAATTAACTTACAGGGCTCGAATTAAATAAGTCTAGGGGAATTATAACGGTCCCTGAGTTCTGGAAAATAAAGGAAGGAAAATACAGAAAGTTAAATGAATAGGGTGAATCCCCGGAAATTTCCTAAAGAAATTCAGAAAACAACCAAAGTCAAAACTTTGTAAATTTAACTTAATTAAAATTACGAAGAACAATCTCTTGTCTACCTAAGAAGTAAATTTGATACGATGAAATCGATAAATGGAGTTTAAACAACAACTGTATTGATAAATACTGATATGGAATTCAACGATTTTCAAATTAACAAACAAAACAAAATTACTGAATCATCATTACACCACACAATGTTCAACGAACAATCTTTCACTCAGCTTTAGGCAAGTCTTGATGAGCTGAAATGTAGTTTCCTTTGGAGGAATGTCCACTGATAAACCGGCAATTAGGAATACGGTTCACGTTCCTCAAGCAACTAGGCAAACAGGCCAACCGGAATACGGAATTACGGTCCTCTGGTAACCAGGCAGGCAGGAATACGGGAGCACGGGAACCTGCGGAATACATCATTCAGCCCTGTGTTGAGCATTATGTCGACACATCTGGAGCAGGTGGAGGTGTTGCGGTGTCTGTGGTGTTTTTCAGAGTTAAAAAAAAAAAAGAGAAAGAGCAAGGTTCATATGTTGTCTTTCTCTACAAGTAAATCAAAATTATACATCTCCACCCTATTATAATATGTTGGTTTATACCTATCTAATTTATGGCACGATCATATAAAACTTGACATAACTAAGCGGACATACGTTCGCCTGCGGATTGGACAGTTATTAGTTCGAGTCCCAACCCAGGTCGACTTCGCCTTGAACAGACACCAGTTATAGTCATGGGGAGTAAAGGCGGCAGGTGTGATGTTGACCACATCAACACCTAGGTACCACTTGGTCTATAAAACATAGGCCAACCCTATATGACCACACAGCTGACGACATTTACTCAATTTGTATGTTGCATAATATAATAAACATAGGCCATGTAATGTATACCCAACTGATGATACCCCATGGCACAGGATAATGGTTTCTACTATAAGATCTTTACGCAAGTAGATCGAATGAATATAAGAGTGACAGAGAGAAGGAGGGTTCGCTATTGCATAGTCCTAACGGTGAATAGTAACCTTAAGAACGTCATAATAGGTAAGGACTAGTGAATTGTCCAACGGACAAGTATCAAGGTTGATGAAGTCACGGAATATTTATACAATGGTAGAATATAGAATAGTAGGATCTCAATAAAATATTTTAGGATACAGCTAAGGCTTATAGGGGATCTCAGCTACTCCCTACCATTATAAATCTCACCTGAAATCGTATATGGTATTATTATTATTGTTGGTGTTAGGCCGATGGTATGGCTGGCAATCGTTCTGTGTTGTGACGAAATTAGATCTCAGGCTTTCTCCTAGTAACACCACAAAACGTCATAAATTATGTGCGCCTTCGTACCTTTTTATTCTTTTAGCGTCTATGTTTAACTATATTTATTTTATGTGCGCAATTCTTTTAACTAAAATTTGCAATTAACTCTTGCCGGACTGAAATATTTCTCCGTTTTGTCACATCAGGCAGATACACTCTCACTTTGAAGGAATTATTTCCACTTACTTTCCTAGAATATATCAGACGGTAGCTTCTAGCTGACAGAATTGTTTGTGTCTGATTTTTACCCTGATTAGTTATTATGGTTTGTATAAGAGACCTGTCATGCCTTCAGAAAGAGTACAGAATAACAGTAATGGAAACATTTTTTGACTATTTATTAACAGGGAAAGAAAAGAGAACATGGAAATGTTTTGGAATTGATGAAAGATTTTGTGAGAGAACAAAAAGAACTAAGTGATAAAGAAGAGTGTCTAGTAAATGAATCTGAGAAGCAGAAAAAAGAAACAGACCATCCTTGTTCTTCAAGAGATGTAAAAGCTGGAAAAGTAAGTATCTTTTGGTAGTATATTGCATTTGAATGTGAATAGAGTTGTTTGTGTATCTTATGCGATGTTTGGAAGTAACACATAAAAACACCATCTTTGAGAAAAATAGCCATTTCCCATTTTTCTTTGTTTAAAACCCTTTATTGATACCTTATCGAAACACTTTTGCAAAGCAGTATCTGCCTTCTGCTTCTCCACAAAATAACTTTATATGTGTTCATGGTTCATTTGTTGACTCTTAACTAGTTATTCCACACTCGAAAACCATCTGGTTTGAACCATGAGTCTTGTTTCATTCACGGAGTGTAGCCTGCTCATTTTCATGAGCTTGCTGGGCTCTTGTGACCACAGGGTTTGCCTCTGTCTTGTGTTTATGATACCATTGTTCGGTTCCTTTTAACTAGGCATTTTGGCACCTTCGCCAGACCCGACCAGAACATCACTTCTACAGACTGATTTTCTTTCCTGAAAGAAAGCAAACATATCCGCATTGCATGAAGAGAATAATTTGTCCTGATTGATAAGGTCACCCAATTTTTCAGAAACGTTTTCCACATTCGCTAATGTTGTCCACCTCATAAACAAAGTCTTAACTTTGGCAACATATTCTGCAAAGCTTGTATCCACTGATACCATCACGTCATGAAACATCTGATTGTACCCTTCTTCTGTCCGTCTTTTTGTATGCCAATAACTTCTGATGATCTGTGGTCAAAGAACTATGTTCATCTTCAGATAAGTTACCAAATGTAACTAACACAGATCTAGTCAATAAATCTCATCTGTGTGAAACCCATTGATGATCTGGTATCTGGAAACAGTGCATTGTATCTTCAGATCTTGTTAAATAACTATGCAGATCATCATTGACCAATACAAATGGCAACTTTGGTTTATATTGAACCTCACTCCGTTGACTGTTTGAATGTTCACCACCATTTACTTTATCTTCCACGGCTGTTTCTTTTTCTAGTGTGAAACTTTCCACCTCAGCTTGAGCTTCAGTCATCTCTTTCTGTACTTGTTCCGCTGCTCATTCTTTTCTTAAAGCATTCTCTTTTTCTGAAATCTCTCTCATCTTAGTTTCTCTGAAATCTAGCAACTATTTTGCTTCCAGCCCAAGTGTACGACCCAAATCAATGAATTCTAAGAATGACATTGTTTTTTGACAATAAGTGAATCAGTGAATTAAATCAAAGTGAGAGTCAGAACTGACTAAAAGTACACAAGACAGAAGGTGATAGACATGACTACCAGCTTCACATGGTATGGACTATGGAACATTATCTGTCAGAACTGACTGAAAGTACATGAGACAAAAGGTTGTGGATAGAAGTGATTAACAACATCACATGGTATGGACTATGGAACATTATCTGTGTCATAACTGACTGAAAGTACATGAGACAGAAGGTTGTGGATAGAAGTGACTAACAACATCACATGGTATGGACTATGGAACATTATCTGTCAGAACTGACAAAGTACATGAGACAGAAGGTTGTGGATAGAAGTGACTAACAACATCACATGGTATGGACTATGGAACATTATCTGTCAGAACTGACTGAAAGTACATGAGACAGAAGGTTGTGGATAGAAGTGACTAACAACATCACATAGTATGGACTATGGAACATTATCTGTCAGAACTGACAAAGTACATGAGACAGAAGGTTGTGGATAGAAGAGACTAACAACATCACATGGTATGGACTATGGAACATTATCTGTGTCAGAACTGACTGAAAGTACACAAGACAGAAGGTGATAGGCATGACTACCAGCATCACATGGTATGGACTATGGAACATTATCTGTCAGAACTGACTGAAAGTACATAAGACAAAAGGTTGTGGATAGAAGTGACTAACAACATCACATGGTTTGGACTATGGAACATTATCTGTCAGAACTGACTGAAAGTACATGAGACAAAAGGTTGTGGATAGAAGTGACTAACAACATCACATGGTATGGACTATGGAACATTATCTGTCAGAACTGACTGAAAGTGCATGAGACAGAAGGTTGTGGATAGAAGTGACTAACAACATCACATGGTATGGACTATGGAACATTATCTGTGTCAGAACTGACTGAAAGTACATGAGACAGAAGGTTGTGGATAGAAGTGACTAACAACATCGCATGGTATGGACTATGAAACATTATCTGTCAGAACTGACTGAAAGTACATGAGACAGAAGGTTGTGGATAGAAGTGACTAACAACATCACATGGTATGGAACATTATCTGTCAGAACTGACAAAGTACATGAGACAAAAGGTTGTGGATAGAAGTGACTAACAACATCACATGGTATGGACTATGGAACATTATCTGTGTCAGAACTGACTGAAAGTACATGAGACAGAAGGTTGTGGATAGAAGTGACTAACAACATCACATGGTATGGACTATGGAACATTATCTGTCAGAACTGACAAAGTACATGAGACAAAAGGTTGTGGATAGAAGTGACTAACAACATCACATGGTATGGACTATGGAACATTATCTGTCAGAACTGACTGAAATTACATGAGACAAAAGGTTGTGGATAGAAGTGAGTAACAACATCACATGGTATGGACTATGGAACATTATCTGTGTCAGAACTGACTGAAAGTACATGAGACAGAAGGTTGTGGATAGAAGTGACTAACAACATCACATGGTATGGACTATGGAACATTATCTGTCAGAACTGACAAAGTACATGAGACAAAAGGTTGTGGATAGAAGTGAGTAACAACATCACATGGTATGGACTATGGAACATTATCTGTGTCAGAACTGACTGAAAGTACATGAGACAGAAGGTGTGACTGCAGTGGATAGAAGTGACTAACAACATCACATGGTATGGACTATGGAACATTATCTGTCAGAACTGACAAAGTACATGAGACAAAAGGTTGTGGATAGAAGTGACTAACAACATCACATGGTATGGACTATGGAACATTATCTGTCAGAACTGACTGAAAGTACATGAGACAGAAGGTTGTGGATAGAAGTGACTAACAACATCACATGGTATGAACTATAGGAAGTCATACAGGTCACACACATACACAAATTCTGTCTGCGTATGCTGGAGATTTAATCCAAACCCTTGTTCTGGCAGGCAAGTGCTTCAACCAGTGTGTCACCATGGCTGTATTTTTGGCAGGCTGTACACAAAATGTATGTTTGTGTTATCTTATACTTGTTTTATCATCGTCTTTAGCTTATGCAACTCCATACTGCAATAAAAACAGATTTGTGTTAATCATGATATAGGCAGAGTGAAAATAAAATAATAATTTATATTGGCTCTACTTTGTGGAAGCCTCCTTGGATAGCAGAGCTGCCCCTGCCTTCTCTTGAGGGCTGACCAACATTGCTTGGCTGCTATGGATCAGCCTGATGGGAGGCACCACCTGTGAGACTGCAGCATCCAGCGAAACTTACCGGGATGGCTAACTTGGAAAGCTAATGCCTGCAGGTGTTGGATGTGTCAGCCAAAAAGCACAAATATTGCAGCCATGTTGTAAACAGGCACAATGCATTTAGGTCTTCGGATGAATACAGAAGAAGATTTAAAAGTACATTTCTTGATCTCTGTTATGACTGCTGATCTCTATTATCACTGCTGATTTCTATTATGATGACCTGTAACAGAAAGATCCTCGGAAAGGATTAGGTGCCAAAACAGTCAGTACCGACACAGCACACAAAACAGCACCATCATCGTCAGGCACTGTGAGAAGTGTAAGTAGTGTTTGTTTATAGTGTACCCGGACCACAAGGAGTTCGTCACCCGCTCATAAACAGGTAGATAGACTGACTGGTTCTTCACCATTTGGTGGTGAACTTTGTGACCAGCCAGATGTTGTAAGGCTCCTGGAAGCGAGGGAAAAGTGCGGATGCACAAATAGATCATCACAGTCCGAGGAGAATAGCGCTGCAAGGAGTGACTGTGAGATCTGGCTGACACTCAAGGAAAAGGTGAGATGAATATACAGACAGACAGTTACTGATGCTATCAGAACTGGAACTCTGTGCTGGCTGCTGAAGATGGGGTCAGAGTGCTTATAGGAATGTTCCGAGTTCTGTGAAGTGGATTCTTAATTCAACATTTTAACATGAATGGATACGTTTCCCTAATAGATAACATAAAATACTCTGAAAAGTAAGCATAGAAAAACTGGTCATTGTTGGAACTTGAAGTGGAGTGGCTTTGAGGTCTGCCTATAGCTTAGTGAAACACTGTCATCTTGAAAGATGGAAATCCTCATGGGGGTTCATGGGTCCTGTTGTGGGGAAAACAAAAAAAATGACTCTAAGCATGTCGTAGAGTCGACTAATTGCAGGTAGCCTTCGAATTCAGAGTACATCTGCTTGAGAGGCAAGGAATCAAGAGTCTGCATACAAGTAAGGCAGATTTGTGAAATGGATGTGCACAAAACACTCAGGTTCTGTAATAAGATTAAAGTCTGGAGGGGGATGAAAATCCTGAACTTTTTCTGCCACAGTTTACAACCAGTGGATGCAAAGATGAAAGAAGTAGAAAGATGGAAATGTGCCAACAAGAGCCTTAAAATTTGTTGCTGACTCTTAAATGAGTAACTTTCTGCTAATGCTGAAAGTACCACCAAAAAAATGACAACTCTCGCTTTAAGTTTGTCAACACTCATGTGCAGGACATGAGGATTTCTTAGGTGAGCCCAAAACCAGTGCGTTGTGTGTTGGCTCTGCATTTATGGAAGTCTTCTTGAATGGTGGAAACGCCCATGATCTGCCCTTGCCTTCCCTTGAAGGCTGACCAGTCTGTACGGGTTCTCCGGGGGCAACATCTGTAGATAAAGGGACAAAGAGGGCACCAAATTATTGAGGCACCATCATGTCCCCTGAAACAATGACCAATGTCATCGTCGAGATTGGATCGACGCCTTTCTTTGAAGTCAGAGTACATCTGCCCGAGAAGCAGGAGGGAACAAAAATGGATGTACATGCAAAACTCAGGTCCTGGTACAAAGAACCAGAAGAAGTGATATATGTATATATATATATATATATATATACTAATTTCTCTATTCCAGCTTTCTCTCTAATGCTGGTATTCATAACCCTGTCCTTGTAGTTTTCTGTATTTATATTGCCCTTCTCAGGTGGCTTGGGTGATAGATTTGTTCATCTGTTTTCCAGGTTTCATCTGTACCATTTATCCATGTCTTCCTTGGTCTTCCCCTCGCCTTTCCAATTCTGTTGTAAAGTCTCAAATGCATTTTGGTCTGGCTACATTCTCCCTAGTTGGTCGAACTGTTTCATTCTTTGTCTGTCAATATAATCCAGACATGGTCATATTCCAGCTTTCTCTCTAATGCTGGTATTTGTAACCCTGTCTGTTCTTGTGTTGTTAGTGAACTTGCTGAGCCAGCACATTTCACTTGTGGTTATTTTCTGTTCTAGTGCCCTATTCATTATCCATGTTTGGCACTGATAGCATAAAGTAGGGATAAAGATGCTAATTATCATTTGCTGCTTTACTGGAAGAGAGACATTTGGGTGTCTAAGCAGTGGGGCTATCTGGTAGGTGACAGCATTTGTCTTCTGTACTCTGGCTTCTATCTCTCAGTCGAGTCTGTCATCCTCCATAAATATGCTTCCTGTATATTTTAATTCTTGTCCTTGTTTGATTGTAGTACCGTTATCATGAATGTTCATGTTATCTTCTTCTTCTTCTGCGTTTGATATCAGTCATGCTAAACATTGAGTCCCGTCTGGGTCACAAATAGGATTGTGCGTTTAAGGTCGCCACCGGTCCCCCATAGCTTCTCTTGCAATGTGGCTCCTTTGGGCCAGATCCACCGTCTTTGCTGGGAGAGGTTTGGGCAGTACTGTAGTATGTACTCAGGGGTCTGTCTTTCTGCTCCACAATCACAGGCAGCAGATTCTTTTATGCAATGTTCATGTTAAGTTTCCTGACTATTCTTATTACTTCAGTTTTCAGTGTTTTTTCTCATATCATACTTTGTGCAAATTAATGTAAGGAGTCAGTATAATGTAAATCCTGTTCTTGGTGGTGTATTAGACACTGATCATCTGCAAAAAGAAGATGGTTTCTTCAATGTCTGTAATTGCCTCTAGTGTAATTCTATTACACATGACATCCCTCTCTTACACCTGATGAGATGAGAAACCAGTTTGTTAGGATCAGTATTTTGTGATAAATGTAAGTAATCTGCACACGCATAATTTCCCCCTTTCACATTCAGTGAAAATCATCATCTTCTTCCTAGTGCTCCCCAGCTGTAAACAGCTGTGAAAAGGTTTTAGTTGTTATCTTTTCTAAACTTTGGCATTTTTGCAGAACTTGAGTTTTGCATGCACATCCATTTGACAAATCTGGCTTTTAATGTATGCAGACTGTTGGCTCTGACCCCTCAGGAAGATGGATTCTGACTTTTAAAGAAACACTTTTAGAACATGCCTCTTAGGCAGGACATGGGTCTTTTTCTGTTTCATAATGGGGCTGCAGAACCAACACGGGGGGGGGGGGGGAATCAGTATAATATACGGTACATTTTCATTTTTTTTTTTTATTGAAAACTTTGTTGGCCACAGCAAAACTGACAGCAAAGGACTTTCCCCACCCCTTCAGGCATATTAGGCAGGACTAGACCGATATTTTACAGATCAGTCGGCACTCGGTGGTTGCTGTGGTCAGCATCAGAGTGGCCATCTTTACTCCCCAAGACTTTACCTGGTACCCTTTATGGTCGGGTCGACCTGGGAGCCAGGGTCATTTTTTTTTTTTAAAGTCCAACTTCGTTGGTACCAGAACCCAGGACAGAATTATTGAACATATGTCTTTGTATCCATGCAGAAATTGAGATCTAGCAGTAGCAGCTCTCGCACATCAACTTCCAGAGCATCCCCTGCCAGGACTGCTCAAGAAGGAACTGGAAAGTCTTCACCAGCCACCTCTAAAACCACATCTAACAACGTCAGAACACAAACTGGCAACTATGGCCCTATTGATAAGCCACCTAAGATTGCCACCCAGTCGAAGATTAAGAAAAAATGAGGCAAGGAACAACTGATTGCCTTGATTATTGCAGTCAGGAAAGTCGGTCAACTCTGCTTTCTGCAATTGATTATTAATGCTGCCTGCTTGTTCCGTCCACTAGAAGCAGCTGTCTGACGGCTGCTCCACATGACACAGAATGCAGCTGTATTGATATGTTGTAATACAGTATTAGAGCCAGTAAATGTGATAATATTTATTACCTGACATTGAACAATTATGAAAGCAAACTTTATTTGGTAGTCCTTCTGAACATTTGATAACTGAATATGTCAGAATACATTTTATTAATAATGAGTGTAAATATCAAGCAGTTAGAAGTTTTAAATTATTCAAGCTTTATGTTCTTTGTTTTGATGATGGATTTCTGAACAAAAAGAGTTGTTTTTTTTATTGATTACTTCTCGGTCTGTTTTCATTGTTTCAAATCATATTAATTTAAAGTATTTAGTTTCATGTTTTCATCATGGCTTCTGCTAATCATAATGTGTATAAAGTTAAACCAAATAAGGAAGTCAGTGAATATGACCACATAAGTTTGTTTATGTAATAATTATTTGATAAAAATAAATTGTCAGACACATTTGAAACATTATTCATTTCACTTGCAGTGACATCTATTGTGTCATGTCTTAATTTATTCCATCTTCTTATTGATCTATGAAAATAAATACCATTCCAGGTATACATGCTTTAGAGTACCATTCCATTTCTCTGTTTCAAATTAAACAAAAAAAAAACAAAAAAAACTTTTGTTTTGAGATAACATTTGTACCATTTTATTATCACACATTTTTTTTTTGGGGGGGGGGGGGGGGGGGGGGGGGGGGGGGGGGGGGGGTCTCTCCTCTGCTGTTATCTCTGTCCTCTTTTTTCTCTATTTTAATCTTTTCTTCTGGTAGTATATTAGTGAAAAAATTGTTTGGGAGCTGCGGAGATGTGGCTTTAAAGACGAGCAATAGTATCTTGGACAGACATTGAGTAATGTAGATGTCTTAAAAGAAACTGACTCACAAAGAACTGATTGTCTACATTAGAGACAATCTACATTCCTTGGTGGTCATGTCATGAGAAAGAGAAAACGAGCACATCTTAACAGTGGGAAAGGATTTTCCTAGTAGCATCCACATTAATTAGTTTTAGCAAAAATCAGCTAATTCAAGGCAGACCACCAGCACTGGACAAAAATGCCTTTACTGCATGTATGAGGAAGATATCAGCAAGCTCACCATGTCAACTATAAAAAGCTGAAGAAGAAAACAAAGTAAGCGTAACTTTGCACCACTGAGACCAAAATGGGAAAAACTGAAGAATTTTATCTGTAATATCTGTGGTGGAAGGATTCTTGGTCAACTCTAGAAATTCCAAAGAAAAGATCAAATCACTCCAATTAGGATGGTATACAATGACTCTTGGAAGGTATTGATAATAACTAAAGGAGAGGCATTCCTAGAAATATTCATAGTACACACCAGACAAAATGATGGAGACCTAATGCAGCGGATCAAAACGGGTAGACCCCTGTGTGGGTTCCGGGGCCCTATTGTGGGGAAAACAAGAATAGACCCACTGCCTCCCCAAAAGCATGTCGTAAGAGTCGACTAACTGGGGAGCTTCCTTTGAAGTCGGAGTGCATCTGCCTGAGAGGCAAGGAACCAGCAGTCTGCATTCAATTGAATCAGATCTGTAAAACTGATGCACATGCAACACTCAGGTTCTGGAGCGTGACTGCAGTCCAGAAGTGGGCGAACAACCAGAACTTTACGCCAGAGTGTACAGCTGGTGAACACAAAGAAGAAGAAGAAGAAAACGGGTAGATATGAGAATTTAATACAGTTTAGGTACATCAGCAACAAAAGGACACGATGAAGTTAGAAATAGACATACGGAGACATGAGTGAAGAAGACCTGGAAGAGAAAGTATAAATGTTCAATAACAGCATCACTGTGACGTGAATTTCTAGCTACATCAATCCAGTGTCTTTGAGTTGAGTCAAGAATTGACATCAAAGCACCCAGGGCATTCCCATGCATGCTCCGTCCTTATCTTCAGCAGCCAACGCAGAGCTCTAATACTGATAGTAGCGGTCACAATCGGACTATATGTCCGTCTTGCCTTTCCTCTGTCCAGTGTCTAAGCAATGTAACGATCACTCCAGATTAAACGGGTACCCGGTCATAACCTTGCAAACTGCGTTAAGAAGACTGTTGAAAAAAAATCGTGGCTAACATATTGCAGATGCTGGAAGAGGGGGGGGGGGTGGGGGTCTGCCACCAAAATAGCTAGGCAGCGACCGACCAAGACTGGGCTAATGTGACAACATTCGCCTGCGATGTATACGCAGGGTTCCAAAACAGAATTAACACGGTTGCAGTGGCATTAATCTTGCGGATAATTGCAGTCGAGTCAGATATGAAGCCTTTCTACACATGCTGGACTGTTTGTTTAAAGATAATCTTTATCGGACATGACCCCAAGTGCTCCGATCTCCTGAGTAAATCTCAAGGTGTTTTTAGGCTAACAACTCCCATTCTGTTATGGCTGATGTAACGATGAGTGGCCCCCGCGTGGTTTTCCTGAATCGCTGCTCCAACTGGTACACTAAGGGTTTGCAGTCTGTTCAGTGAAAAGAAAAATCACTTTCCACGAAACTGCAAGCTTCAGAGCGTTTAGTTTCTTGTATGGCACTGATGATGTCTCATGTCCATAGATGGCTCATTCCTTATAGACGCTATGACAGCTAGGTCGTCTGCTCTCTCGTTGCCTTTCACACCAGCGTACCCTGGTGAAAAGAAGGGGGGGGGGGGAGTTGGGTGATTTTGCGAAACGCTGTATCAGATGGAGCCACTGTTTCCGTAGATGCCCCGGCTTGATCTTTTGTAGCATGCTCACTGAGTCACTAAGACAGCATGCAATAATGAATTAATGAATTTTTAGCCATTTTAGGGCCTGTGTCACAGCTGTGACCTCCATTGCTATGTTGCTGGTAGTAGAAGCAAAGGCTCCACTGCCTTCTTTGGCGATGTTTCCTTTAGTTCTTGCCGTGTACTTCGCTTCTGACGAATCACATAACTATCCATATATGTAGCAGCATCTTCCAGTAATGTGTGTTCCTCCACCAATGCTTTCACTTCTGCATCAACTATTGCTAACGCCAAATCACGACACTGTCTTGTCAGGGTGATAACCACCACAAAGTACTGCTCGTATTCGTGGATATGCAAGTCTATCCTTGGACTGGTAGCTGGATGACAGAGGTCCTGTATGAACGCAAGATAGCTTCTGAACTTCACACCCATGTATCATTACACCTGATTTACCCCAGGATTCAGCCATCACATCTGAACTCACAAGTATGATTACAGCCATTGCGGCATCGGAATTAGAAGGGTGCTCACAGTTGCATGTGTTGGCATATGGATGGGGGAGAAATCGGAAGAGGACATCAGAAGAGCTCTAAGTGGTGGTGGATACACTTGATGTGTGGGGAGAGGCACATGATCTTAGCTAAACCCAAATAAGGCATCAATATTATGGTGTTCATTAGACAGATTGTGTATTGCTTCTATTGTTCGACGTCCAAAGCAGCCACAACCTTCAGTGCAATAATGCCTCTTTTTGCTCCTAATACTGACCGACGCTCAACATTCAGGGGAAGGGTAAGACGGATATACAATCAGACGGTTACTGGCACCATCGGAATTTGAATTCTTCGCTTGCTGCTGAAGATGGGGACTGAACACTTATAGGAGTGTGCCGATTGCTGTGATAACGATTCTTAGTTCAACATGTATGCTCTTAATAACTGCATAGGTCTGGTCCTTGAAAAACAGTGCTGTGTCAAACATAGCTCCTAGATATTTTAGGGTGATTCCCCTTTTGGCTACTTCTCTATTTATTGTGATCTCTGGGGCAACTCCTTTGACAAATCTATTCCTTTACAATCCTCGTCTGAGACATTAAAACGGCTAAAGTTTTTGTAAAAACTTGTCTTTCTAACAATGTGCCAAACTATCATCTTCACGGGACTTCGGTTGCAGTCCTCTTTTTCCCTTCAAGCTAAGAAACCAGCGGGATTTGCAAGACCGCGTAGTTATGTCATACAACACACTGGTTGTAATTAGATCTATGACGTTTTTCATTGTCGATAGACTGAAAATCCTCCGCTAAAAACACTAATAACTCCCCCCCCCCCCCCCCCCCTTCCCCCCCCCTCTTTTTTTCCCTTTCCAGGCTGCTATCTGCCAGTTTGAGGTATTTAGATTATAAAATCTCAGTCAGGATGGCAAACCAAAACCCAATACCCCGTTCAGACTCGAAAGAAGTTATAATTTGGGCACCTATACCGGCCAAGCCAGTTTAGTGTAACCAACAGCCCTGCGCGGGTAAGGATTACACACGGCCAACTCTAGATATTATACACAGCCGGACGTGGGATTACACATGGAATGTTACCCAGGTGCAGGAAAGAAGGTAGCTTGTCCCCTCTTGGGTTGTAGTCTGCTGGATTAATACCTAAAAGATGAGAATGAACAATGCTCAAATACCGGAAGGTCCATTTAACAGTTTAAAAGTTATAACGGGGCCACCCGCCAGCGATTACATGGTAGCCCCAAGTCCGGTCCGGGTAAAGATATGGTCCCAGTGCAGTTCGATAATTTGATTTCCCCGTGTGTATCGTATCGTATAAAATCAAACAAAAATTCCAAGCTTAGTCCTTTTTTAGCCGCCTGATGGCCTGCTTTTTCAAGGACGGTTCCTTTGCTATCTTATTTTATTTATATTCCTTGTGGTGATCACTTTCACCTGAGTTTGTTCATTTGTTGCCTAAGTTCTGGTTCTGAGGGGCCTGGTTCCTGTTTAATTGGCTATTCGCTAGCTTTTGCACTGTTCATCTGTGTTAGCACCAAGTCAGTTTGAAGTCACACCGCCACGAAACAAACAGTTCCGCATACTGAGCGCCCTAAAACACGGTTCCCACAGGACGACTGTCACAATC